TTAGGAAGGAATTTCCAGCCAGAAATGCAAGAGGGGTCGCGGGTTAATATTTGAGAAAGAAAGAAAATGATAGAATGTATAATTAAAAGAAAGAAAGAAAGAAAGAAAGAAAGAAAGATAGAATGAATGTAGGACATGTCCGAAGAGTATGGAAGTATGATTAAAAGGAGAAAGAAAGAAAGAAAGAAAGAAAGATCTGACCGAAGAAAATATGCTTAAGAATTAAGACCAAGGAGAAAGAAAGAAAGATAAAAAAAGAAGAATGAAACGAAAACTACAGTATGAATAAGACCAAGGAAAAAGAAAGAAAGAAAGAAATCAAAAATAAAGTATGAATAAGACAAAGAAAGAAAGAAAGAAAGAAAGAAGAAAAACCAAAACTACAGTATGAATAAGACCAAGAAAAAAGAAAGAAAGAAAGAAAGAAAGAAAAAAAGATAAAGAAAGAAGAATGAAACCAAAAATACATTGTCAATAACATCAAGGATAAAGAAAGAAAGAAAGAAAGAAAGGAATATACTAAATCGAAATAATCAAACTTTGGCTCGCAAATAAAGAAACGTGAATGAAAAGAGGAGGGTTAAGCAAGATTTTCAGTTGGAAAATGTTTCAAGCCTTTCTGCATCTTTGAATCGCCGCACGTGAACGTCATAAAAATGATAAAGAGGGAATGATGTCGAAATAAATAAACACACAAAAATAGAGTCTGAGAGTTTGGTCTCCCTTAGCTTGTTTTTTTTTTTTTTTTTTTTTTCATGCTTCACCAAACATAGAAAAACATATAATGAAAAAAAGGCAAAAAAAATAAAAATAAATGAAAAAATCACCTTCCCCGAATATTTACTTAATGGAGAGTTCATATTTTGAGTGCTTTTATTATTTTTTTTTTCCTTTTTTTAATTCCTACTCGTGACGTATATAAAAAAAAAAAAAAAAGTAAAATCTCGGTCGATGGACGACACTGAACAGACAATAAAAGAAGCATTAAAAGCTTTGTATCTGTAAAGTCCAAAAATCTTGACAGCTGTTGCCCTGACTTGGACCGGAGACACACGAGAAAGCAGCGACAAACGACGATACATACAGACGAAATTTAAACCTCTTTGACATTGACCTTTATTTGTATAGTTGTGATTTTCGAGATGTTTACTAAACTGGGCTTAGTCTGGCACAAGGACACAGATGTACAGCTAAAACTCTAGTAAACCTCTAAAAAGTCATTAAACAGATCATATTGTTTATGAGAATATCTTGTTAAACTTAGTTACATGGCAAAAGTACCTGTTGCAATCATACAGATATTTATTAAGAAGATAGATATGAACAGAGTGAAATAGATAGATAGATAGATAGATAGAAATAGGCATAGATAGATAGATAGATAGAGAGATAGATAGATAGATAGAAATAGGCATAGATAGATAGAGAGATAGATAGATAGATAGATAGATAGATAGATAGAAATAGGCATAGATAGATAGATAGATAGAAATAGGCATAGATAGAGAGATAGATAGATAGAAATACGCATAAATAGATAGATATGAACAGATTAGGATAGATATATATATATATAGATAGATAGATATGAACAGATTAGGATAGATAGATAGATAGATATGAACAGATTAGGATATATAGATAGATAGATATGAACAGATTAGGATAGATAGATAGATAGATATGAACAGATTAGGATAGATAGATAGATAGATAGATATGAACAGATTAAGATAGATAGATAGATATGAACAGATTAGGATAGATAGATAGATAGATAGATAGATAGATAGATAGATAGATAGATAGATAGTTTAAAGGATGCAGTCTTATGTGTACTGCACTCGGCACGTGGGCCAAAAGAGACGACATTATCTTACAATTATTATTAGCGTTAATTGTAAGGATAGCGACTTTACTGGACCGGAAGTATCTCCGTCTCGAAAGTCACATGATTCACTCTCAAGGAATCAAAATACCTTTTCCAATCACAACACTTCTCCCCCTCTCCTCCTCCTCTTCCTCCTCCTCTTCCTCCCCCCCGCCTCTGTCTCTGTCCTTCTTCACTACCCTCCTCGGCTTTTTCCTTTTAGCCCGAAAGACCCGCTAGATATAATAACTTTAACGGCCGCTTACAATTCCGAAGGTAATGGCCTGTTATTTGTCGGTGAGTCATGGCCAAATTCTGCAAGACACCTGGCTTGCTCTTCTAATAATATACGACCACCAAAGGGACACATTCACCCAGTTGAATGTGTTCCGTCTTAGTTATTTTTTTTTTCACCGTTTCTTGCCTGACTATCGCTTATTATGAGGTTTCGCTGCGCCCCTAACGACAAAAAAAAAAAATTACAAAATACCATTATACATACTTTAGAGGCATTCTCGGTGGGAAAATGTAGCTTTTTCTTGTATCAGACAGTAAAGGCTGTACTTTAGTTTTTACTGATGTTCACGCCATTCAAATCCCAAGAGACACTCAATGTAGAGCATTACTGAAGGAATTATTGATATAAGATTAAGAGATGCATTTTATGAGGATATGTGAGAAAGATGACGGTTAGCTTATACTTGAATAAGTTAACATTATAGTGGTCAGAAAAGCACCCTCCTGGGAGTCAGTTCCACAAAGTAATAGTTTGTTGGGAGAAGCTGTTCGAATGGAATTTTTATTTGGAATACGAAGGGTATGAAGGTGGTTTGACTCAGTGTACGCGGCGCGGCGTGTCTTAGTTGTGAGAATTACAGTTGATGGATATAAGGAATGTAGCTCGTCCGAACATTTTCCATGGAAATAGCGGTAAAGTAGTTAGAGGCTTGCAACGTTTCGTTTGGAGGAAAGGCGTTGTTGCGTTGAAAAGGATTAATCCCCCCTCAAGGCTGCATAGACGATTTGGAACTCTATCAACACTGGAATGGGAACAGTGGGCAACTCCTGCCAATATAAGCTAGCAGTGCTTGACTGTCGGTTTGATCCGACACTTGTAAAGCAAAGAGAAGTCAGGTTTCAACAACCTTGGAAGCTGTATATTCGCGGACCACATAAGATACTGGAAAACAGAATCTAACCCCAGAAGTTAAACGTATGCAGACGTGTGGAGTCGAGATCTTATCAATTTACAGTTGAGCTGGCTAGCTGTAAACGTAAATTCTATGCTGACAGTTTCTTTTCTTGCTTCTAGAACTCCTGTCAACCTCTAACTTTAATCTGCAAAAATTTAAATGCAATGTCAATTCTACACTTTGTGAAATCAGCGAGACTTTATACTCACAGGAAGAATAAGCAATATTATTTGTCCTGATCTGACAGATCGGCTTCAGACACTTACCCACCGCTGTAAGGTTGCCTCTCTGTGCCTTTTTTAAAATACTTTCATGGTAATTGTTCGGAATGAGCTCTTCGCTATGGTACCGAGACTTCATGAATTTAATCACGATATGAAAATGGCGTCGAGACCTCATCAAATTACAGTTGATCTGGCTAGCTGTAAACGTAAATTCTATGCTAACAGGTTCTTTTCTCGCCTGTGAAAATTGCTTCCACCTCTATGCTTTCCAGCCAACTTTTATCTGCAAAAATTTAAATGCAATCTCAATCGCTATCTACTGTCCACCTGATTACTCTTCCCTTTTCCCGCTCATTATTAGTGTTTCTCTTCCTTATTCTTCAACTGCCTGTAACACCTTGTTTCTTAGTGGCTTTATTTCCTTGCATGGAGTGATACCGGTTAATATATATATATATATATATATATATATATATGCACACCCGTATTTGGACTAATAATGACGCGGGGATTATACCTTATACATTGTAATGAATGTAAATTATTTATACTATTTATATTATTCGGACTATTGTCCTCATCGTTGTCGCCATATTTATTACAAAGTTTCGGCTCCGGCCTTCTTCAGGTGGTTGGAATCTCAAACTGAACCCTTTATTTCGCTCACTGGGGTAGACTGTTCTAGTTCCACGTGCCATGTTTTAATAGATGTCAGTTATCAGTTATCTCCTGTTAATTCTCCAAGTTCTCCACTGCCTTAACCAGATATTGAACTCACACTGTTTGGGTCCTGTCACTGGATCTAATCAACGTCTTTATCCACTGCACCACGTGTCCTTGAGACAAATACTGTAAATTATTCGTTTAAATTTCAGAACGGGAACGATCATAAATCTCCACATATACCTTTTTGTTTATTATCTTTATTATCTGTGAATTTCAATGACCCCTTCACGGTTTTTCTACTGTTTTCCACCCAAGTGAAGTCCAATCTGCATTGCTTTTACACCCAGGCGTTTTATGAAATGTCATGGCACTTCAGGACGTAGGCAATCATATCTCTCCACAATTTCTTTTGTCGGGATGCAATCATAACAGTGAATGGTTCACTTCACCAGAAAATCAAAGCTTTGAAAATTAAATGGAAATAACTTTTATATGTGAATATTGCTTCTGTAAAATATTTATTTTTTACTTTATGTACAATGGTGAATAGGTTTTTCTCTTTAAATTAGTCACTAAAATCGTCATTCACGTAATAATGTTGATTAATGTTTAGCTTTTATTTTAGGAATATGTAAAACAAGTAAAATGAAAAACAAAAACATGTAGATATTTAATTTATTCTGTAACGAGAATGCTTAGAAGAAAGATTTATTCTCCCATTTGTATTTCACCCGTTATGGGCATTATTGTTTATCCGTTACAAAATAACATAACGTAGTTCAAGGATGGAACGGAATGGCTGAAAATAAAAAAAGAGAAACATGCTTTGTTCTCAGAGAGATACACAAAACCATATCTACACATGTCCTCCCTGCGTGGAGTATAATATCTCACATACATCTACAAAGAAAAACAGAGTTTAAGAAAAAACAAAAAGGATCTTACATATAATATAAAGATACTCCTGTACCTGGAGAAGCCATTTTTAGGACGACAGATTCAAATGGACCGGATTCATCTATATCCCAGGCGAGGACATATTCCACGAACGGGAAACAGTGAGTCTTGCTTTTTCCCAAATTGAAAACTGCTAGCTGGTTTTTCATTCTATATTTGAGAAAGTTATATTCTCCAAAGGGAAACAGCACCATAGACTTGGAAGCTGCTGGGGGTTGGTGGGGGGTGGGGGTGCAGATTAACTTCTGCTTGGGCCATGGGGTACCCGAGCTAAAGAAAGCAAGCTTACGGTTTGGTCGCTGTAAATGAAGTGAAATTTGATTGCCTCTTTTCATCACCCTATAGAGTGACGTAATTAAGCGGGCGTCATGTGACCCACGTGATTTTATCGCTACTACAATTTCGGTATCCTTACAATTCTATCCAAATTACATGCGTAAATAAAATAAATTTTTAAAAACTCTTTCGTGCTAATTCATACTATTTATTTATTTTAATATTGTTAAATATATATATATATATATACACTAGACCAGTTGCCATCCAAGGCTATAGAACCCAGTCTGTCCTGCTATTTTACCCATAGCTGGAGGGAAAGGTATTAAGACGTAAGTGAATGTAATGGATTCGACTGGAATTCGAACTCGGCTCTGCGATTACCTCAATCCAAGCCGCTATCCATTACTCCACCATGCCTCCTATAATGGGATTTTTAAAAAGATTATTTGTTAAAAACTTCCCGTTTTTTTTTTGGGGGGGGGCACACTATATTATACATATAACTAGCAGTCGATGCCAAATGTAAATACAGAATGTTAGAATTTCATTTTTTATTTACTTTTTTAAAAAGTTTAGGCAGATGATGACATTAGTTTTATTAAGTTTTATTTTGTTTTGTTTTTTTCTGCGAAAAGACACTGTGTGTCTTGGTTGAGAGAGGAATTTTTTCTGTGATTTTAAAACTTATCAAAACTACTCCGAACTTTGAGATTTCTTTTTCAAGTGGAAACTACCGGAATTGTAAATACTAGTTCAGCATCTCTCACTTCACTGTCGGCATGATGATCAGATTTAAAATCTAAATTGTTTGTCAATTTACAATTCAAAACGTCTTAGATAATATTCAAATCTAGTGCCATCCCACTCCAGTCGGAAGAACACAGCCATAACTTCAGAGGCGTAGCCATACTTACCACACTTAGCTAAATGCGGGTTGATAATGCTATTTACCTTTGGGAAAGTTATGAATCCTCTTCTTCTTCCCCAGCTGTGGGTAAACAGCAGCACAGACCGAGTTCTAAAGCCTTGGGTGGTAACTGGTCTACCGCAGAAAGAAATGTCAACCTAATTCGGGAAAAAAATCTGCCTCGTCAATCATATATCGAAAGATACATGATCGCCTACGCGTGTATCACGCATAGCACATAACTGACTGAAATTCACTTACGTGCTAATACCCTTGGGAAAGGTCTGATTCCTCTTCTTTTCCCTCCAACCAGCTATGGGTAAATAGCAGGACAGACCGGGTTCTATAGACTTGGATGGCAACTGGTCTACCGCAGAAAGAAATGGCAACCTAATGAGGGGAAAAATATGCCTCGTCAGTCATGTATCGAAAGATACATGATCGCCCAAGCGTGTACCACGTACAGCACATAACTAACTGACTGACGAAATTTAAATAAAAGATTATATGAACACAGTAGGGATCTTTTACAAAACAACACACTCATTGCATTAGATGATCACCGTAATGAGTCTAACCATCATCTTAATTTTAAAAAATGCTACTTTAATTAAAAATAAAAGCAATTTAATCAAATCAAGATGTATAGAAAGTGCTTTAATCACTAGATCATCCTCTAAATTTACGTCTAGTTCCTTGCAACATTTCACTCTTCTTAGCAGATTATCGCAATGTGGGATATTTAATAGCAATAGTGATAAAAACAAACAAAAAACTAAATAAAATTGGCTGGACTATATAAACAGATATTAAAAAAAAAATTTAATCAGTTTAAAAGTATAAATTTTATTCCTGCGCATGCGTATTTAGATCAATAAATACATTACCTTAGGCAGCTAAAATCTTAAAAGGACGAAGCGCGTCACACGAAAAAACATCTTTTGAACTTTGTCATTAATTTTTCTAACATTTTTATTACTTAAACGATATTTTGGTGGATATTCGCATATTTTTTCTCTAATGAGATTCTCTTGGACATCGACGCATTTTGTAGCCGAGAGGTCAAAGCACGTCAGAAAGAAACGTAGGTTCGAATCATGCCGGAGAGCACATATTTTTCTCTAATAATATTTCTCGAATATTCTAACCGGTAGACGAAAACAAATTATGACAATATGTGCCATAAACTTACATGTGCATTAGTATAAAGAGCTTCACGTTGAAACACCGGTTTTCGTACGATCACCGAGGTTAAGCAACATCGAGCCTGGTCAGTAGCTAGATGGGTGACTGTTTGCTAATATCTAGATGCTGTAAACCTGTATGTGCGAGAGGTTTAATGATTTTATGGCCAAATCACGTTGAAACACCGGTTTTGGTACGATCACCGAAGTTAAGCAACGTAGAGCCTGGTCAGTACCGAGCTGGGTGACAGATTTGTGATACTAGGTGCTTTAAGCTTACATGAAGTACGTGTCATGTAAGTTGGAAAACCATGTTTCAAATTCAATCGGGTTCGTTAAATTCATGCAATTACCCTTGGGAATGGTATGAAGCAACCTCCTCTCCTTCCAGCTACGGGTTAATTATTAGTTCTTGCATCAGGAAATCATTATTATCCACTAAAAATTCTTGCAATCTAAAATTATTTTCAGGTTTTAAATAATCTGGAAATGGCTGATAAGATGTAAAAAAAATAACAAATTAATCACTGAAGCAAAAAATATTTTAGAAAAAAAAAATTAAATTTAAATTTAAAATTTTAGTGTCTCCTCTCATTCATACGTATGTGTAATCATATCAACGTAAACATCACTTTAGTCTGATGAAGTCGTAAAGTTCGAAACGCGTTACGCGAAAAGTTTTTTTTTTCCATGTCATAGATTTTGCTAAAATAACTAAAATATATGTTCTGCTATCCATTATCACAAAGCTGTATCACTTCGGATTTCTTCTCCTTCTTCGAAATAATTCCCAGTATTAACGGCCACATGGAAGGATTGCCATTCCGTAATATTGCAGAACTCTTTCCTTTGTTTAAAACGGCATTTTTTTTTTTTCTTTCAAATTTCTTTCGTTTTTGAACGATTCCAAACTTTCTGGTTTAATAAACGGTTTTTCACATTTCCGTCGCCTGTTAAAACACTTCCTAGATATTTAAATTTTGCCTGAAAAACTGTTTTTTTTTTTTTTTTTTTTTTTTACTAGAAAATACATCAGAAATCTATCTTTGTTCGTTTAAGGATGCTGGCATCGAAGATTATCCATTATCTCAGGTCTCGGATTCTTCTTTTTTTTCATTGCCTGTGTCTTTTCACACACTTCCTCATACATTCCAAATTTCGTTGCCCGTCCATTTTTTGACCGAAGTAATTTCATGTGCGAAATGGGGGGGGTAAAGAATGCATAAATATGTTCTACTCTAACATCTTTTATCTTTCCATTGCTTTTGTTTCTCTCTCAAGAATTTTAATGGATTGCAAAAACTTTCAATCTTTACCTGGCTTTTGACTATTTCGGTCTTTGTTATTTGATATCCAGTCAGTAAGCCAGTCTTTCAAATTTTTCCCCCCATTCTTTCTCTCTCTATCTCTCTATCTTGAATTCTCTCTATATATATATATATATATATATATATGCAAATGTACACACTTATAAGTATATATATATATAAAAAATACAAAAACATATATATATATATATATATATATATATATATATAAACATACACACAAATATAACATCTCCATGAATTCCTAATATATACGTGTATATATATATATATATATTTACTTTTTTTTATGAACACACACGCACATGTATATATACATCCATATTGAATATTTAAATATATCTTGAGATTATATATATATATATATATATATATATATACACACACAAATATAAGAAACTCTATAGATTCTTTAAAAAAGTAGTATATATAGATATATATATATGTGTCTATGTGTTGTGCGTGTGCCTATTATATATATATATATATATATATGGATAAATTGTCGACTAAATTCCACAAAAATGAAAATAACACTGACATATCATTTTAACAGATATATTTACCAATATTCCACGCACACATAGACGCACACACACAAAGACACACATTCATAAATACATGCATACATATATACGTTCAGGACACTATTTCCTCTGTTATCTATGGGGTGGTGGGGCCTTTAGCCCCGAACAAAAAAAAAACTGACCTCATGATAATTAGAATATATCTTCAAATATACGTGTTTTTTGACTCTGTAAATATACTGCGAAAGGTTCTATCTGTTTGAGGTTGTACAACTTGAGGGAGAATGACCACAATGCAAGCCCCCACCCCGTTTGAAAAAAAAAAAGCAATTATAATAATTTTCCTGATGCGATACCTCAGAAATGAAGGGAGAAAAGACGTTGTTACTGTTGTATCAAAAAGATATTTATCTAAAGGTGAAATGCAGCAAGAACATCGGCGTAAATTTATTAGCGATTGAATATATATATGTATATGGTAGCTGTACTAGTAAAATTTATCGTTTCCATACAGGAAACTTTCGCTATTTATTGACTGAAGAGGTACTGTTATTCAATGTAGAAATTTGTACAAAAGTTTTTTTGTTTTTTTTTAAAAAAACAAACACATTTTGTTTTTGTTTCTGAAGAATATGCTTCTCAGCTGGTGGTAGAGTTTCTTTGTTAAGTTCTTGTTTAATGTAGTATAGAATGCCAACATCTTGATTATATTATTATTTTCTCGTATTTCCTACCAATACCTAATAAATAATGGACTATTCCGCTTTGAATGAAAGAAAGAAAAAAGAAAGAAAAAAAGAAAGAGTTTAACCTATCCTGCCAATACCTTATAAATAATGGACTATTCCGTTTTTTTGATCGCGTGGTAATTGGGGTAAAGACACTACTTGGTTTCAGGGAGGAAGGAAGGAAGGGAAGGAAGGAAGGGAAGGAAGGAAGGAAGGAAGGAAGGAAGGAAGGAAGGAAGGAAGGAAGGAAGGAAGGAAGGTTTAACGATTATTTCAGTGAAATGGAAAAAGTTGTCTATTTCAAATCTTTTCATTTGTACCCACTTCTTAAAATAACAACCTGTATTCATATTTATGATTGTTATTGAAATATTTTGTTAAAGTTGTTAAGCTCAAATATTTAACGATGTGATAGAGGAATTTCTACGGATATTTTATTGTCATAGAACACACCATGAGCTTACTCAATCCTTAACTTAAGAATTAAGATTTCATCGCAAAATTGGGATAGAAAAATCCGTGAAATATTCACGGGTTAAAACTAGTAGAGATATAATTTCTTAAGCTTGTCAGAACCACTGCCAACATGAAGCATGTGGCCGAAGATTTCCTGTTCTCGTTTCGACACCGGAGGGACAGTGTTAGTCAGATATTCATGAGATTTCACTTAGAAATAAGGTATTTTTCCTGATTGACACAGGTTTCTTTTCGCCCACGCGTCTTCGACATCTGGACGTTGTTAAGCAGTTCTTTTCACAAAGGCAAACTAGGACTATTATAAAAGTATTGTGAGTAAGATTGATGCCTGGGGAGACTCATATTCTTTCCAAGCGTCTTATTTTATTTTATTTTATTTATTTTAATTTTTTGGGTGTCTGCAAGGTATATCATCCCTACCTTGCTACCACGAACTTTCTGTTTTAATGTCGCCCTTACTCACATTGCCAATACAGCACATTTCTTTGAAGTTGTCACGTCCGTAAGAAATGTAAACTTTCACTGAAGATCAAGTACAGTAAAAATCTGAAATATTCCAGAACCGTACCAGCATAGCTTCAGTTCTTCTTTGAATTGACAGTTCTTTGAATTTTTATATAAACCTTTCTCAGGACTGTTCAAAGGTTTCTAGTAATGATTGGTACAGTTATCATTTTTATGCTCTGTAGTTTTGTAAATTTTGAAGCAGAGTACAGGAATTTTACAAGGTCTTCTTCTTCTTCTTCTTCTTCTTCTTATTATTATTATTATTATTATTATTAATAATAATAATAATAATAATAATAATAATAATCTACTTTTTGACATGCAGTATGTGGGGTAATCGGTTAAGACTGAGTGAGAGCAACCCACCTCACATCTCCAGTACTTTTCCCAGCATTCTTGCAAACCCACAGTTTCTTTTGTTGCACTTCCCACCTGTGAAACTCCCTTCCGATTACTTGCTTCCATGCCATCTACAACCTTCAAAAATTTAAAGGCAACATCTAACGCCATAATATATCTTCCGGAATCCTGTTCCTTTATTTTTCCTTTTTCTCACTTGTCCTAACCCAAGTGTTTTCATTCTATTTCACTCCCAGTAAACCCCTGCATTCTAGTGGCATTATCGCCTTGTTTGGGGTGAAATGATTATAAAATACCCAAAATGGTTTGAACAATTTTGACCTATAATCGATTATTATTATTAGTAGTAGTAGTAGTAGTAGTAGTAGTTGTATTTTCTTTGATTTCTGGTGTATACTCATTTCCCACATATTTTATGTAGATAATTCCGTTCGTAATGTGAGGACAATTTTTTGTATTTCTTTAATGTATGGGCTACTAGAAATCCCTTCAATGAGTTTATTGGGATATTCTCCAATCAATCCGAGTGCTCCAACTACAAGTGGAATTCTTAATGTCCTCATGTACTACATTTTTGAGATGTATATTTTAAGGTTTTTTTGAAGACTAACAAAGATACATTGCAGTCTGCAGAGACTGCCATGTCATTAAGGAGGCAGATTTTGTCTTTGCTGTGTCTAATAACGATGTCTAGGCGATTAGCTTCGATTGTTCTGTCTGTGTGTATTTTAAAGTCCCATAAAATTATTACAGGTCCAATAATTATTATTATTATTATTATTATTATTGTCGCTTCATCACCATCATATATCTTCATTCGTATTCGACTGCCTGCATTATGGATATTTGCAATCAACTCGTAAGTTCTTGGAAAGCACTTTTTACAGAATAATTTGTAGTGCCAATCAACACAGACATTTGAAGACTTGGATATAAACCGGATCTATGCATACCTTTTGATTCTAGTGTATATCGAGCCTTTTAGACTCTAGTGTAAATCGGGCATATATCTATCTTTTTGAATCTAGTGTAAATCGGGCCAATATCTACCTTTTTGAATCTAGTTTAAATCGGGCCTAGATCTACCTTTTTGAATCTAGTCAAAATCGGACCTATATCTACCTTTTAGACTCTAGTGTAAACCGAACCTCTATCCAATTTTTTGTTCCAAGTGTAAAGTCCTTCCTGGTTTATGTCGATAAACTACATCCGCGTCTTGGGCAAGATGATAAACTACATCAAACAGCAAGGCCTGTGATTAGGAGGTTTTGAGGAGCGTTGAACCACCTCTTAATTGCTGGTGTTCCCAGGTCCACCCTGACCCGGGGTGGTAGCACCTGTTA